CTTCGCATCCTAATTAATTCTGAACAAAGTATAATATATTATAACAAAGGGTTATTAGGGACTATTAGGGAAGAGGAGATACGATTATTCGAGTCTTATGGTCAACGCAATCAATTATATTCTTGATGAACATTGAAAAGACGCCCGGTGTTACGGAAAAATGACGATTGCATGTTCTTCGCATCCTAATTAATTCTGAACAAAGTATAATATATTATAACAAAGGGTTATTAGGGACTATTAGGGAAGAGGAGATACGATTATTCGAGTCTTATGGTCAACGCAATCAATTATATTCTTGATGAACATTGAAAAGACGCCCGGTGTTACGGAAAAATGACGATTGCATGTTCTTCGCATCCTAATTAATTCTGAACAAAGTATAATATATTATAATAAAGGGTTATTAGGAGCTATTAGGGAAGAGGAGATACGATTGTTTGAGTCTTATGGTCAACGCAATCAATTATATCCTTGATAAATATTGAAAAGACGCCCGATGTTACGGAAAAATGACGATTGCGTGTTCTTCGCATCCTAATTAATTCTGAACAAAGTATAATATATTATAACAACGGGTTATATTCAAAATAGAGCCGTGCTTAAAACATAAATCGCGAAGCTTTTGTATCAACTGAATACTATCAATGTCGTTAACAGAATTACTACGCCAATGTAACAATGTAACATTTTACAGAAGTCCGCAGTAAAATATAATAGACTGTCTCAAACTATTTAGAATTTTTATCATTTCTATATTTCGTTCGTTTCGTTATTTTATATTTATGAAATTTTCCCATTTTTATCGTCAAATTTCTCGCATATGTATTCGCTTTTGGACGAATGTAATTGCTTTCGAACGTTCGCGAGCGCACATCGCGTGCCCTAATGATGACAGACGTTGAAACGAACGCATGACTAGTAGATAAAACAACCGACAATTATAAAGAACACATAGTCATCGGATTCCTCGATTTACCACCTATTTGTTAGAACATTGGTTATGTCACTCTGATCGCGGCATCTCCGTTCTTAGTGGATTACTGTGTTCACGATCGTTTTAGCTTCTTGTGTTTGCAAAGTGCGCGCGTTTGTGTGTGTCCTGGCGGCGAGATCGTCGATTGTCACGGGAAATATGCGGATAGATGATTTAACCAGACCTCAAATTATTTAAACTATTCAACCGTATTTCGCTCTTTAATTTCGCTCGACACGAAGACGAACGTTCGATCGAGTAAAAAGTTCAGGGTAGACACGAAAATTAATTTAAAATAATAATATAATGATAGTATAATAATAAAATAATAATATAATAATAATAATATAATAATTGTATAATATTATATTATATATAATAGTATATATATTATATTATACTATTATTATATTATTATTTTAAATTAATTTTCGTGTCTACCCTGAACTTTTTACTCGATCGAACGTTCGTCTTCGTGTCGAGCGAAATTAAAGAGCGAAATACGGTTGAATAGTTTAAATAATTTGAGGTCTGGTTAAATCATCTATCCGCATATTTCCCGTGACAATCGACGATCTCGCCGCCAGGACACACACAAACGCGCGCACTTTGCAAACACAAGAAGCTAAAACGATCGTGAACACAGTAATCCACTAAGAACGGAGATGCCGCGATCAGAGTGACATAACCAATGTTCTAACAAATAGGTGGTAAATCGAGGAATCCGATGACTATGTGTTCTTTATAATTGTCGGTTGTTTTATCTACTAGTCATGCGTTCGTTTCAACGTCTGTCATCATTAGGGCACGCGATGTGCGCTCGCGAACGTTCGAAAGCAATTACATTCGTCCAAAAGCGAATACATATGCGAGAAATTTGACGATAAAAATGGGAAAATTTCATAAATATAAAATAACGAAACGAACGAAATATAGAAATGATAAAAATTCTAAATAGTTTGAGACAGTCTATTATATTTTACTGCGGACTTCTGTAAAATGTTACATTGTTACATTGGCGTAGTAATTCTGTTAACGACATTGATAGTATTCAGTTGATACAAAAGCTTCGCGATTTATGTTTTAAGCACGGCTCTATTTTGAATATAACCCGTTGTTATAATATATTATACTTTGTTCAGAATTAATTAGGATGCGAAGAACACGCAATCGTCATTTTTCCGTAACATCGGGCGTCTTTTCAATATTTATCAAGGATATAATTGATTGCGTTGACCATAAGACTCAAACAATCNACATTTTTTTATTGTAACGTTAATCGTCCGACAAACATTCTCGCGTGGAACGGATTAAGAATAATTCTTAATGAAATATTTCCTTATTTCCTCGAATGATAATTAAAGTGACGATTGAAACGCGGTTCCTCGTCGATCTTTCCAAAATAATAAAAGGTCTGACATTTGTCTTACACGCGTGATAATAAAACATAAGGAACGTCGAAATAGAATTTCCGACTGTCTCTGCGAGAAATAAAACATAAGCTTAGGCACGCGGGTATCTGTCCGATCAGGTGAGAAAGAACAAGGAAAGGGATCGCGTGACATCGCGCGACCAGGGAAAAAACCAGGAGAGAGCTCGCGTCCCTTCGAGCCCTTGTACGGTTACATGAGCATAGGCATGGAAAACTTGCACGGTGAAAATTGTAAAGTTACAACACGGTAAAAGCTGCTTTCGCCGCTCTCCTACTACCCTAGTAACATATTTAATATTACTGAATGTTTACGTTAAATTATTAAATTAAACAATTCGGCGACCGGTTGCCCGGGGCACACCGTACAGTCACGGCGGAAAGTTTGTTCCTGTAATTTTTGTAACCGCGTATCGATTTTCCCGGCTGTCACGACGGACCGGATGCAACTGTTCTCTCTGTTTATGGCAATCGACTCGACATTTCTTGCTTAAAGTCGTCGTCGACGTGCGTGCCAAGGTGTGCCTGAATATTGCGGTCGAAAATTCCGAAGCGGAAATTTCTGACAATAATTGAATCGAAACCTATCGGCGAAATAAATTGGACCGATCGAAACGCGGATTTCGGAATGGCTGACCTCCTACAGAGATCTGGGTCCCTGCTATGCGAGCACCACTCGGTACACCCTCTGAATTCCCACAGGATTATTTATCTCTGCTATCGTTAACCGATTTTGTGATCAAGCCAACATTTTCGAACCTTTCGCTTTTCTTTTTAACTGAGATTCGACGTCGCTGAGCAGTCGGTCGGCTTCTACACGAAAAGTGGAGAAAAGTCAGTATTAGAAAATATCCCTGCAATGAGTAATTTGTTCGATTAAAGTAGTCAATTAAATATGCGGCTTGTTATTTATTCTGATTATTTTTACTGTCTGTTCATTTTGGTCACGGCTACATGGCTTCAAAATAGGCCGCCTCTAAATCATCCTAAATTCACATCATCGTTCGAACTTATTTTGTTCTTTGGAAATAAATAAATTTACAGAATTTAGTATACTTAGTACAGTGTACTTAAATTGTGTCGCAGGACATGTTTTTTATCTCTCATATTTTTTGAGTTATGTCCAATCGAATATGTTGAATTTTCATTTCATTTTTTAATCTTTTTTTTAATCAGTGTTCGTTTTTGAAGAGCATTTTGGAGAGCGATGCCTTATATTAATGACAAAATAAAAATTGGCCGATGTTAGCTGCTGTTGGAGAAATCATCTAATAATGATAATAATGCCAAAATGGCACGTGCCACGAAGCATATTGTGATACCTATCGGCTTTCAATTGCTATATTTATAAGAATTTGAAGCCTGTTATTTCACCAGGGGGCGTAGCTCAGATGGTAGAGCGCTCGCTTAGCATGCGAGAGGTACCGGGATCGATGCCCGGCGCCTCCAAAATATTGTTTTTTGTTAGAACTTTTATTTTTTCTTGTATAAAACATTATTTTATATTCTATATAATTAAATAATATTCGAATAGTATTTTTGTATATAATATAATAATATATATTTAAAAATAGTAATTCATTAAAACAAAGATGTATTTTTATTTGTTCACGCTTTAAACAAAATGACTTAGTTAGCAAATACAATATTGTTAAACGATTGATAAACGCATTGTTGAATGACTTTCAGTCGCATCGAACTTATTGCATATAAATTCCCTTTTTAATAACATAAATACTGCTTTTTCAAGTTAATGAATCGGAAAACATGTTAAGTTTATGAAAGATTTTTATAGACTAGATGCTCTCTCTCTATCCTTACGTATGAAAATTGTTATAATTGTTCGTTGTTTAATTAATTCTCTTACTTTCTCTGATTTTATAGAATAATAATAATAATTTCCTGTACATACGTAATATTGGCAGTACACAGTGTCTCGTACTATTAATTGTCGCAATTGTTGAACAGTATAGTGTATATTTGGCTTAATTATATTATTGCAAGCTGTTGTTAGAACAATTATACAGATTTATATAGATATAGTCGGACAATCTAATATTAGGGGGACCGGAAAGTTATGTCGTTTGTTTACATTAAATTCAAACAGATAAATATGCGCAGAAACGACATTACTTTCCGGTCCCCCTAATATTTACAATTAAATATTGTACCATAATAATATAGATACAAATGTTGTATGATACATATAATGCAATAAATATAATCCATTATAATATAATCATATATATATTTAAAAATAGTAATTACTATTATATATATTACTACTATTATGATATTATTATATACAATACTATATATTATATATACTATATAATATATATACTACTATATAATACTATTATTATACTATTTTTAAATATATATATATATATATATATATATGATTTAGTTAGCAACTACAATATTGTTATATATATATAATATAAATATAAATATAAATATAATCATTTAAATATACTATATGATTAAATAATAATATTTAATGATGAATTGATAATGATTAAATAATAATATATGATGAAATCATATAAATATAATATAATCATGAAATTTCAACGTTTATCAATTTCGCAGGTATTACAGACGCATTGTACAGTGAAAATCAAATTGGGGAGCCGCTTTTTAACTACAACGGAGCAAAACGGTCTCATTGTCCGCCAATAAACCATAAACAGCCGACCAATCGACAGAGCACTTCGTTGAGATTGAAGCAATTACGCTCGGAAATGGTCCGCGTTGCTTCCATTCAAGGACCGGCTCTAGACGGATACATTGTCACTTCAGACGATGCACATCAGGTAACTGCACTTCCGAATACATCCTCTGAACGCATTATATTTATCATAATCATTCTTTTAATGCAGTCACATTTCAGAGGGTTTCAATTTAACCCTAAGCAGAAAATATTCGATTGAAATTGTCAATGTAATCGTTAAAACAACTATTATTCTTTTGCTAAATATTAAACGTCGCAGTGTTCAAAATTAGCAGTTTTTAATTGTTTAACAGTTCGAACCACGAAGATACGAACCGTTCGATGATCTGATTGTTTAAATTTATTTCAGAGAACAGAAATTATTGTATAATATTACGGAAACAATAAACCCTAGATATTATAGTCATCGCTAATAATAAAGCACGAGATAATAAAATCAATAAGATTCGATAATGTAAATAATACAAATGATATAATTGATTGCATAATAAAACAGTAAAAATTGATTAACGGGGTACGTTTTAGCCGACAACTCTCGTCTTGCTTATGTTCGTGACAAAATGCTTGTCTCTATTGTTGTCGATAAAAAATTATATGTGTAAGCCAAAAATATGAACAATTTTAACGATTTAACCATTAATTTGTTTGATCGAATATATTTTTGTCAAGAACGATGATCATCGTCATTCGTTATCGAAATTATTCAGAAAATTCATCTTTTCGTTGTTCTAAAGATTTCCTCATTGTTTCTCTCATTGTTTCAAATTGCTAGGTATATTATATGAATATTGTCTCGTTAACAAGCTGAAGGTGCATTAACTTAACATTTCAGACAGTGAACTACGTTAGTCACGGCCGAGAGGGCCCGTTGGAGGTATAATTCGCGTAAGACATCGCGTTTGCGAATTTCTCAAGCTTCTCTTAAGTTTGCCAGTTTGACAGGATTTTAATCAGATTGAGATTGAGATTGAGATTGAGATTGCCGCCCCACAATGAATCCCCGATTATAATTTCCCCATTAACACGTCCGCTAACAACCGGCCGTACACGTGCGACGATCGTTCAATTAAAATATAAAAATTACATTTGTTAGAATCGAGCCGTTTATTTTGAAAGTGGCATAAGTCACCTTATCGTAATGAAAAGTGGTGATTTCTTAATGATTATACGAAATTATTTATATATTTTTATTATTTATTTTTATATTATTTATATTATTATTTATATAATATATATATATAATATAATAATAATAATATAATAATATAATAATATATTATAATAATATTAATAATTTTATATAATAATATATATATTTATATTATTTATATTATTATTTTTATTTATTACTATTTATATTATTTATTTTTATATCATATATTTGTATTATTTTTATTATTTAAATTATTATATATATATTTTTAAACGTGTTAAAACGCAAACCCTTAAATATATCGACTTATAAACAAAGATGACTCATGCCACTTTCAAAAAATAAACGGCTCAATTATTATCCGTCGCGCACGTTTTCGTAAAAGCTGATAGCGAGCGCGTTAATTTTGCCATGGTGTTCTCTAATCAAGCGTGTTTCCACATTTGAAATGACTATCGTTTATTAGTCACCACTAATAGCTTTGTAGACCTACAAATTAACGGATGACGTAGCTCGCAATCTATTCACCAGCTCGTAATGAAATCCGTCAACTTTATCGTTAGAGCGAGTCGGTAGATCCCCGGGACATGAGAAGAGAATTCATCACCGGGTTCGATGGTAGTGCCGGTGACGCTGTCATTACGCTGAACAAAGCTGTGTTTTGGACCGACGGAAGGTATCATGTGCAGGCAGACCAACAGCTTGATTGCAATTGGATGCTCATGAAACGCGGCAGGGAAGAGGTGAGTGCAATATGCTTCTGTTTCCTGATCGAAGGATCCGTATTTTTCCTTTTATCTACAGGAAATTCTCCCTAATATTTATAATTATATTATATAATTTATTATATAATATAATTATAATATAATTTGATTATATAATATAGCGTAATATAATTTTATTACATAATATAGTATAATATAATTAATTATTATGTAATGTAATTATAATATAATCTATTATATAATATATTTATAATATAATTTTATTATATAATATAGTATAATATAATTTATAGTTATCGATTGTTAACAATTATAAATATTGAACTGGTTATTATAAATGATTGCTTATTACAACTGATTGGTTATTATAATTGATTGGTTATTACAAATGTATGGTTGTCTCCGTGGAATCATTTTGAAAATGTTTAAAAAATGCCTTAAAAAAAGATAAGTAAATCCATAGAAAATATCATTTTGGATTACCACTTTCTAATTCCAATGTTTCTGTATTTATATAATCATTTGATTATATGTATTGTGCAGTCAAAGAAATCGGTGATTATAAAAGCTTAACAACTCATTTAAATGCTTCCTATACAAAATTGCAGAATAAGAACATCTCAAAGTATTTGAAGAAAAGATTTTTGTTGCATCGCAACAATCTGCAAACGCGTTAAATTGAAATATCTCTATCTTAACGACGCATTGAGCGTAATAAATAAATGCGCGGTGTTTCGAGCACATCTTGATATCAGCTACAGGAATTTTTAATAAAAAATGGAGGAACCCATTTAAGATTTCGATCTTCAAACTCTTTGTGGAACGTTTAAAAAAAAATAAATAAGAGCGCGATATGTGCCGTTCGACGTTACAAAACTTTTATTTTGAAACATCTTTTTCTATTATTCACGTTCGTTAAGATATTCGAGCGTTTCGAGTTGAATCGAATACGCTGTTACGAAACGCAGTCGCTGTTGCAACTTGTTGCCGTTAGATGGCCACCGAGTCGAACGTTTGCCCGCAGCTAAAAAGCCTCATTGGCTAAGATATATAGCCCGCTGCGACAGCGAATAGTTAAGATCATACTTCACAGGATCAGTTCTGTAGTTGATCGGTTTTTTCTCTCTGTTCAAACTGAGAGTCGATGCAACCACGATGAGGAGGCGTAGCTCCTTTCCCTGAGCGTGAGGAAGACTCGGGAAAGTTGACTTTGTTCAATTTCTCAGTCATCGATGATCGTTCATCCCTTGTACTACGTGCAAAGGAGATGGGAAGTGGAGCTTTCTGAGTGGTTCCCTTATATTTATGTACAAAGTGAAATTGTATCTTGTAGCAGTTGGTCAATAATTGACATTGTTTCACAGGAAAAATTTTTATTAAAAAGTCTTGGTAACCGTTGAAGTCAAGTTACAATGATTTGATATAAAAGTAAGTCACTAATAACTTACGATGTTGAATCGACTTTATAAAAATAAAGATATGAGTATATTATAGTATATTATTAGGGTATATTATATATATATATATATACAGGGTGTCCCACAATTATTTTAACAGCCGAAAATGAGGGGTTGCTGAGGTCATTTGAAGTAACTTTTCCCTTTGCGAAAATGCAATCCACGGCTTTGTTTACGAGTTATTAACAAAAAACACTGGCCAATGAGAGGTGACGGTGCGAGAGAGAGGGTCCGCGAGAGAGTCCGCAGCACCAGGCTTTGACAGAAGGTCGGGACGGACTCGAGCCGCGTTCGAAGTATTGAACAAGTCACAAGACGAGAACTTTCCGGATTTTTTTTACTACATAACAGTGATATTTTTAAGAAAAACGCTGTCTGCTAGCACACACCTACACACTCACTCGTTCGTATATGTCAAGTACTATTGCGGACCAAGTGGATCAAAGAAGTCCCCTGAGGGACCTCCGATCGGAGGAATACCAATTTCAACAATTTTCGAACGAAACATTATTCAGAGCCCCGACTTATAGTATAATTTCACATACTTTTACAATAAATACTTTGTTACAATACAAAGTTTGCAGCTATTTGCTCGGTATCATCCTCGATCCAGAAATTCATTGTAATTCTCAATATTTCCTGAACCGAGGATGATACCGATTGCCCGGGTCTCACCGCGAGGAGGTTGCTGCTTTAGAGACCCGAAAGGGAGTCAGAACGAA